CACACACACACACACACACACACACACACACACACACACACACACACACACACACACACACACACACACACACACACACACACACACACTCTAACCCGTCACCATCAGAATAGTCCTCACAAAGATATGTGAACACACACTAAGGTTTCGGTGTCTTTGTGGGGACCGTCGGCTGCAGTGATGGAGAATGATTCATGTCCAGAGATGTCGTTACTGCGGCTGCAAGGAGGAGCATAAATAAACTCAGGTGACATCAGCTTTGTTGGGTATTGTTATTTTCACAGTCATGCAGAGGAGCCATTAAAACACACACACACACACACACACACACACACACACACACACACACACACACACACACACAGCTGCAGTATAAAGACATTTCTCTCATTATATAAATCTGTATGTTTTATATTTCTAATATTTCAGAGTTTATTTCATAATGAATCTGTTTTATTTCGATTAAAATCCTTTCAACTAAATGCTAATATTAGCATGTCACCAGAATCTCGTGAGCCCATTCATAGCATGTAACCTTTAGCATGTTTAAATGCACATACAATAGGCACGTTAACTCTGTAGTGCAAAACATTAATCATGTTATTAGCATTGTGTCGCGCCCATCTTAGGCATGTTAGAATGCACATGCTCAGTGTCGGCCTGCTGACTTAGTGTAGAACATGTAGAATGTTTTCATGCTAATATCAGCAGAAACACTCACATGCTGTTATTTTGAAGAGGAGCAGATGTAGAAAAGATTCTGTACACGTGGACGTTTATTCACGTGTTGACGAGCGGAGACTCACACGTATGATAAGAGTTAACGTGTTCTCAGGCTTGTTGTCGTGCTCCTGCTCAGTTTCCTGATTCCCTCCTCTGTCGACTGCAGCTCTGTGAAGACTCATGAAGATTTCATGCTGTTGTTTGAGGATATTAAACTTTCACATATGAAGCTCAAAGTGGGTCGCAGCTGTACAAGTGAAGGATGTTCAGTCGCTGTTATTTCCATAATTGCTGCTGTGGAAGGTAATTTGATAAATAAAAGTCTGGATGTTAATGTTTCATAGCTCATGAATGAATAATGGAGGACGGTACAGTGAGGGTTGGTTTCACTCTCAAAGACAAAGAGAAGGTTCTATGATCGTGAAGAAATAAAAAGTGATGTCGGATCAGATAGTTTGTGTGTCTGAGACTCTGAGTCTGATCTGAGGACGTCTCAACACTGATTAAACATCCCGACGCACTAACGACCCTGAAGTGTTCACTTTTTAAACTTTAAGCTCTTTTCATCTGCAGTTGTGTAAGAAGAACAGAATTGGTCTGCGGCAGCCATGAAAGATGAATGATGCAACCAGGCTCCTCGGCAGTGAAATCATGTTTGAACGACTTGTGGGTCTGTGGTTTTCAGAGCTGAGCTCACACTTGAATCGTCAGATTCAATTTCATTCAAAACTCTGTACATGAAAAAATATCGGGGGGGGACGTCGACGACACTTGACTTTCGTCACTTCTCCTCCTCGGGAGTCAGGAGACGGAGAACACTCGACGCCTGGTCAGAGGGGGAGGAGTCAAGTCCCCCGTTTATGTCAGAATATTTTTCCAACGAGACAAAGTACGAGCTGCTCCAGAACCTGAGCTCCAGGAAACGTACAGATGTCAAACAGCGGAGGCTCGAGAAGAATCCTTGAAGAACTCCACGTTATTTATGTTCAGATTCATAAGGAACTACGATTCAATCTGATTTAGAACCTGCGCACAACACAACACTTGTTTAACTTCACAGTCCAGTGATGGAGGCTTCATCATCATCTACTCAACCCTTTGAAACCTGTTCACAAACACAGTCTGACGTATCGTTGTGCGGCCTCAGTTTCAAGTGAAGTCAGAAACACGGTGTCCACTGTCCTCGTGTGAGCGGACTCATCTGTGCAGGTTGAAGCTGGAGCAGGTCGGAGGTGAACTGTTTTCTCCACTGAGCTCCGTCTTAATGGCTCCTTCCTTCAAGCTGCTTCAGAGAGATAAAAGCGTCTCTTTCAGAAACACACGCGCCTCCAACAGTCTTCAGGTATAATGGAAACTGACAAGAGTAGTTCAGCTCTGTGAAGAGAGGACTGGAGAAGCCGCTCGGATAAAGAGAGAGAGAGTTGTAGGCCAGAATGAAAGAGAAGGAAACTCGGCCTGAAGTCTTCTTTCATGCTTCACCTCTCCTCTGAAGTGCTGCTGGTGGAACTGGAGTTTTCTTTTCATATGTGCAAACAAGCCACCGGGCGTTTTAAACGAAGAATATTGAACCCAAGTTTAATTCAGAGCGAGAAACATCGAGAATAATCAGTCAGTGATAATAACGTGAGTGATTCTCAGACCTGAGGAGGAAAAAACCAACTCAGAAGAGTTCACACGGAGGTCTACGAGTCCCTGACGTGCAGTCCAGCAGATCTCACTCAGAACCAGTCCTTTAAACAAGCCCGGTGTTCTAACAGGTTCTTTCTCTAACACTTCCACCACGTTCACTGGAAAACTGTCATCATGTTCACAAACTAACAAACAAGGGGTGAGAACATAACCTCCAATGTTCACTTAACCCAAAACACTCATTTGCATAATTCGCTTCACTTGCTTGAGTTGAAGTAATTTAACTATTTTAACTTGAGTGATGTGATGTCACGAAAGCCAATCAGCATTGAGAATGAGACTCTCAGGAGGCAGGTCCTGGTCCGAGGCAGCAGGTCAACAAACTGGCCCTGAGCTGTGTGCGCCTCATATATATATGAAGCATATATTTATATATGAAGCATATATATATATATATGAGGCGCACAGAGAACTCCTGTTAAAACCAGTGGCCCATGTTGAAGAGGAAGACAAGAAGAACCTGCTTTAACAAGCTGATGAAAATTTAACACACGACTTTTACTACAGCACTAAAACACTGGAGATAAAGATTTATGAAACAGCTTCATAGAAACAGCTTCATAGAAACAGCTTCATAGAAACAGCTTCATAGAAACAGCTTCATAGAAATAGCTTCATAGAAATAGCTTCATAGAGCAAACAGTCATTAACATCTTAACGCTTCATCCTTGAGGGAGCAGGAATGGACTTTTTTCACAGAAGACATTTTGACATCACAGCAAAACAAGTGTAAATGTTAAAACTAACTTCGGCTGTATGCTAATGTTTGATCCAACACAGAGAAGATGTTTAATAAAACCAGCGGCTGCAGACGACTTCAATCAACTCAAAGATTTGTTTCTGGGTTTCTGAGGTTTAAACACATGATCACGTTGGAAACATGTTTTCACTTGGAGATCAGATGAAGGATCAGTTTATTATCTTGTTAGTTTAAAAAAGTTCTTATTTATATGTATTTTACTTTCTCAAAATCAAACCATGCCACTGTTTGGTTTGTTCTATCATTTATATTTTCTTCATTGAACTTGATGCCTCTCATCTTGTGCTGGAACTACACATTTGTTTATTTCAGGTATTTTATTTTGCTCGATTTGTCTTTTTTATTTTATTTCAAACTGTCTTTAGAGCATTTTTACACGTTAAGCACATGTGTGTAACAATTATATTATTTTCATTGAAACATTTCTGTTAGAAACTTTCAAATGGATAATTTTATTAAACTTTTTATTTGCCAAATCAATTAATATCTAATATCTAAACACTATCCGAATATTAAGGTGTATCGTGGTGTTCTGTGTTCCAGCTCTTAGACGGATCCCTGGGCTGCAGTTGTGTGTGTTTTGTGTTGACGTCGTCTGAGGAACTCCTGCCCTCTGCTGCGCCACGCACCAGGAATTCATCACCTCCATGAAGAAACAAAAGGTCTGAATCGACTCCAGTCAGACAGAACGAAGACAACAGCATCGCTGAGTCGTGTCTCTGCAGCCGCAGCCAGAACAACCTTTCTCTAAACGTTTCTGCAGAACCTCGAGCACGACGCAGTGAGCGCTCGTTAACATGTTGGATACCAACGAGAAATGGTGATTGAAAAATGAATGGCTGCAGGTGTCAGTGAGAGTCCAGAGGAGAAATCTGTAAAAGACCCAAACTGAGTCTGATTCTGAGTGAAGACCTGAATGTTCAGGTCCGTTCCAGTTTCATTTCAACAAAGACATCAGTGATCTCCTGAACCGGCTGAGCACACAAGACGTCAATACAAAGGAGCAAATGGTACGTGTGTGTGTGTGTGTGTGTGTGTGTGTTTCCATAGACTGAAGGTAAAAAAGATCAGTGACTGTAAATAACAAACTTGTATTTCTAGTAATTTGCTCTCTTCAGGTGAATGTAAATGTTTTCTGAACATCGTTCCTTCAGCTCTCACATCGTTCAGAAAACTGTGAAGCTCTCAAAACATTTTCTGTTTACTGCTCTTCTGACACTCTCGTCCTGACGCGTTTCAATCTTTACCCGCTTCCTCCCGTGCACATACACAAACACACAAAGGTTGCCATGGAGATCTGCATGCTGTGCTCAGAGGGTTGCCATGGCACCAGTGTTTACTGGGGAGGAGAGGGTTTTGTTGGCGCTGTGGTCGTCCTGCCTCCTGCAGCAGCTCATATTAATGAAACCGTTTGTGCTTGTGCCTGTTGGATGTTTACTGAAATGGATCATATTGACTGACGTCGAGGGGGGAGGAGAGTGTGGGTGAGACGGAGAGTAAAGAGAGGGGTGGTGATCTGATGACTGAAAACAACCCGAGTGTCAGAGCTGAGCAGAGATCCCAGGAGGGATGAGAGGGAGGGAGGCAGCGATGTGCAGCGTTACAACCCCCAAAATATCACTTATTATTCAGTCACGCTGATTTCAGCCGTTAGTCCTCCAAATCTAAAACCTCCCTCTGTGCTGCTGTGAAAAGTTAAAGTGAGTCAGAGGAGAACACACTGATCCTCAGACACAACTTTACACTTGATAAACAAATACAGAGTTTATACAACTTAACTCTCAGACAAAGACCTTAATGAAAGAAACTGAAGTTCTATGTCAAGTCTGACATGTATGAGGGAATATCAGTCACCAAGCAGACAAACATTTTACATCTGAAAACTGGGGTTTTAACGAACGCCCTCTCACACCAGGAAGAGAACGAGAACGTGACACATTGAACTTCCTGGCGTTAGCGTGTTTGTCACCGGAACAACGTACGACAGCATTTTTTTTTTCTCGTCGTGCAAAATGCGACACTGGCCAGTCAGCGATGTGAGGGAGCTTCTTAGTCTTTTTTAAGAGGGTTTACTTTGGTGACGGATCAGAGGAGTCTCCACAGGTTTGTAACCAGGCAGCCCGGCACACTGAGCTGCTGATGAGCTCAGGAAACAGCAACACAAATGGAAAGAGATGAGGATCTCTGGATATAAGAAATAAATCAGGATTGAGTATGAAATGTTCCGTTCTGATGCTCTCTGCTGATAAAAGACATTTTTAGGCTCGTCTCCAGTGCAATCCTGATGAAATGTCCTTATCTCTGGAAAACCTCCTCCTCGAAACCAAGCCGGGCTCAAACCAGAGGTTTCCTAGGAGACACGCAGCTAACGTCACCCACTGTGCAGCTTTCTGTTTTCAGAGAAGGCAGCTTCGTTCAGCTGGTTCTGTGTAATGTGCTGTATTCTCTCCATCCGAAACAGCGTCCGGCCTCTTTCCACTTTCACCTTCACGACCTGTCCTCAACAGCAAATCCAACAAAGGTCCAAACCCCTGGTCTCAGACCAGTGAGTGTCAACACGAGTCACCAATCGATGTTCTCTGTTCCCTCGAGCACGGTGAAGCTCAGTGACCCCCTCCCTCACCGACACAGACAGAATCAATCGATAGTTTTAAGCATGAATCCAGGATTATTAAATTCATCTGTGACGCTTCAGTCAAGTTTTCTTACAACAAACAGAACTTGTTAAACTTACGACATGTAAATTCAGCCACTAGGGGTCTGTGAAGCAGCGCGGGATCATGGGAGATGTTGTCTTCACTTTCCAAATGAGAGAGTATACACACACACACACACACAGTTTGGGGGGGGGGGGGTCTGACAGAGCACACAGAGCGAGGTCCTGCCAGGTTTCGATCGTACTCACCTTTCTCATCAAAGAGCTGCACAGAGAACAAACACGCTTCTGTTCTCTCACGTCAGCAGAGACACAGACTCCTGTGGCAGAGAACACGTCGGCTCATGTTCAGTTCTTCAGCTGGAGACAGGTCCGAATATTCTGAGACGGACAAAGACAAACACACGATTGACATGAGACTTTACAGGCAACACGGACGTCACCAGACGAGTGTAGTCAACAGTAACATTAGCATGCGACGCTAGCCTACAGTTAGCTAGAGGCTGAAGTCCAGTCAACACCAGGACAACTTGCCCTGCAGCTGAAGTACTTCACTATATTAAAAACTTATAAGGACCATTAGGTTATATGTGTTATGTAAATGTTTTTAAGTTTTGTAAGTTAAGTGAACTTTAAACAGTTAATGTGTTGAATTGTCCAATCAGATGTTTGTTTTCAGAACCATATTAAACGGATCGATTTAACAGCGTAACCTTTGAAACGTATTGATTTAGGAAACCAACGATAACAAGATGTTACAAAACAATTAAACATCAGTTAAAGCAGAGAATCTAAACGTCCGTGTTTTTCAGCAGATGCTCGTTCGTTTAGAGTCGAGCTCTGCTGAGCTGTGTCCGTCTTAAAAGTCCCCGAGGGTCAATACATTTCCATCCATCTGAGACATGAGGCGACTACATGAACACAGCAGCTTCAGTCTGACGCTGTCAACTAAGATGTCATCCAGTAAATGACGGACAGATCCCTCTGCTCACAACCACTCTGATCCCCTCGTCTGCATTCAGGAGATAACTGAAAACAAACAGCTCAATGAATCTGCTATGAACCAAAACCAGCAGCTAGAAGAGAAGAGGAGCTGTGAGCGACTCATCAGACATGGAGTCATTTCATCAACCGTTTGATTTCAACACTGATTAGTGCAACTCTGTAAAATCACTGTAAATGTCACATCACAGCTGAATCAACTCTGATCTCTCCAAGACTTTATTTACTGGAGAGTCTTCAAATGCTTCACGTCTCTGAAGTTGTGCGACCTCAACTAAAAGCTTCTGTTCATCAGTGCAGCAGAAGAAATGATCAACAATCTCACAGTTTTTTCATTCTGCAAAATAAACCCAAACCACATTGAGCCAATAGATTTTTAAATACAGAAACAAGAAGTATTTCTTAACCCTCAATAAGCCATTTGAAGTGAATCTTTTTAAATATGAACTCTTTCCCCAGCTCCTCTCCCGACGCTCTGTGGCACCACTGATCGTTATCGAGTCGTCATCGCCAGTGTTCAACAGGAAGAAGAAGGAAACAGAGGACTCGAGTTTCAACTGCAAAAACAATGAACCTTCTGAACATGATGGTTTTATTTCAGATGTCCTGTTGTTACATCATGAGCGAACAGTGTGAGGAGGCCTCAGCAACAGTCAGAGGTTCATTCACCCGGTGACAACTCAGAATAGTTTCTATCACAAGTGTGCCTCTGCTCACTTCAGCCAAAGCAGCATTAAGAAGTTGAAATGAGTTTCAGATGAGACAGGATATCACTGGAGGCCATTAAACTCACCTACTCAAGGAGACAGCAGGAGCAGGAAAAGTTCTTATTTTTCAGGGCCACATTTTTGGAGACAGAAGAAAATGGTTTCATTAAGCATCTCCGAGGATCGGGGGCTGAGTGGTTGATCCAGACGTTGACCTTTTCCTCAGCGGCGGCTGAAAACTGCCACAGTGAAATGACGGCGCGGTGATAAAAAATAAATGAGTCAAATCACAGCGAGCCGCTTCCCGCCGGAGTCTCAGCTGCAGTTTAACTGACATTTGGCCGCTGGTGTTGACAGATGGAGCCGTCGCTCTGTGAGGAAAAACAAAACCAGCACAATCATCACGTTAGACGTGAGTGGATTCTTTCATCGCTTCGTTTACGATCACCTGCAGAGAAAACTGAAGTAAACATCGTCCAATAAAAATATGTAGAAGACACATCAGGAGCAGCCACGTCCGTCCACAGTCACTCAGCTGTCGCTTGCAGTAGAAGATGTGTTTGGTGTCATCTCCTGCTGAACTGAATATTAACATATGAACACTTGACATGTGAGACATGTGAACAAAGTGAACCCACTGTGATCTCTGACCTGCACACACTAACGTCATGATTCTCCTGCTGGACGTGTCTTCATTGTTAAATCTGAATTAGACACATTTTAAACTGGGATCAAAACTTTGTGGTTATGATTAAAATAATAATCATAATTAACTGATGGGAACAGTGACAGTTTCTGTATTTGGGATTTTGGATGGAGAATTAATTTCGGCAACATTCCCACATAAAACCCCACCGTTTATTAAAAGTGCACAAATCGAACCCGAGAAGAGAAACAACCAGTTGAGTTTGTGATTGAAGAGAAAAAGTGATCCTGCTTCACAAACAGCTTTAAGGAAATATATCGCTCAGCAAGTGAGCAGAGAAGGAGCCAGAGACATGAAGACTCCGTCCTTTATAACACTGAGCTGCATGAACAACCACTGCGACTTTAAACTTCCTGTCTGATCTGCAGGGTCTCACGAAGCGCTACACAAAAATCCACTCGCATCTGACAAGAACAACATTTCAACCCTGAGCCAAGCAAACGGCTGTTCAAAGCCAGACCTCAGAGCTCTAACAGTGGGGACGTGTTGAACAGGACAAGGAGAAGTCAACATGTTGAATGAGCGGCCTCCAGAGTCTCCTCTTTGGACAGATTATCCCTGGATTCCGAAGCTGCGTGCTGCTCGGTGAGCCCCGTCACCCTGGGGGAGCTCATTACCAGCGCTGCAGGCTGGGATCTGAAGCATGTCAGCCCCAACTCCTGCCTAATTAATTCCACTGCTTTTGGCTCCTTTTTTCTCCTCCATTAATCTGTGTATTTAATTAAGGTCTCCTGCTTTGACGGCACAGAGAGCGAGAGGCAGAGCGGCGGAGGAGAGGAGTGGGAACATTGAAGGAGGGAGAGAAAATGAGTTAACAGATAAATCTTGTTTAGAAATCCTCCCAATTACCAAAGTAAAGATGCAGGCCTCCGCCCACCGAGACGCTGATCCTGCTCATTTCTACGGATCAGCTCCGGACACTTCCTGGAACCTTTCCGGCCTCCGAGCACCGAGTCTGAGAAAAGAGCAGAAGAAGAGTTTGAGTCTGTTTGAGCTCCAGTTCTTCTCCTCAACGTTTCACACAGCGAAACATCAGAGTCGCTCTCAGACTGAAAACTGAGCTCAACGTCCCGACTCCAGATCACATGAACCAGGACACACAACCAGGAGACACAACAGACACACAACCAGGAGACACAACATACACACAACCAGGACCCACAACCAGGAGACACAACCAGGACACACAACCAGGAC